GAGACACATTTCGACTCCGTTGAGATTTGGATTTGGGTCACATAAATGTGCACCCGAGTTTAAGAATTTAATTTAATTAAATCGCGTCTAAAGAGTCTAACGCGTTATTATCTTTGGGGAAAGCAGTGAAATTCACTAAACAGTCCATCCCGAATTCTAAGTATTTATTATGACCAATTATTGAGGGCCCCGCAATTTGTATTTTTATTTGGCGAGGCTCGTCTCATTATTTTTTTAAAAAAAATTAATCTTAGAATGACTACATTTTTTTATTTTTCATTTTTCTCTAAAATAAATGAAGAAAATGTCCTACTTTATTTACATACTTTCGAGTTATTATAGTTAAGTTTCGAAAGTGAGTCGTTTAAAGAGTTTACATGGGCAGCGCATAGAATGTTCTACATACAGACAGTAAAAGAAAGAAAAGACTACATTAAACTACAACTTCAAATCTTTCTCATTTTTTGCATTCATGTTTCGAGTAGCTTACAAGATGAACCAGTGTATCGTTTGTGTACCTGGTATTGTCAATACAAGAAGAAGAAGGTCAGCAAAGTAGTATGTAACACAGCAACATACAGCAGCAGAAAGCCCAACACAGTAGCTTCAACACCTCAATCCAGAAATCCCAGCAACACGGAGAAAACTAGTAAAAATGGAGAAGAAAAATAGTGCGGAAATCTCTCTTTGTTTTTTCTTTCTAGATTTGAACACTCTATGGTGTTCTTCCGCTCTTAATATTTCAGAAAATTTGGTTCTATCTTTTTTACTCTCTCCAAAATGAATTCTGTCCCTGTATATTTTGTGTATCCAGCATGTATATCAAGTGTATACTTCTCTCTCCGCCCCCTCCTTTTTTCTTCTCTCTATCTAGTTTTCCTCTTTTTTCCACCTTTTTCTTCCTAAATTTTCTCTTCTATTTATAGCAAAATTTTCGAAATTTTAAGATTTGTTTTTTTTTTATTTTTTAATTAAAAGAAATCTCACTTACAAATTGTTTTTATTTTTTTAGAAAAAGAAATCCCACCTTTATTTACTTTTATTTTTAAAATTCCAACTTTAATTACTTTATCTTATTTAAAATCCCACTTTTTATTTTTTTAAAAGAGAATCTCACTTTATTTAACTTTTCTTTAAAAAAACAAACCACTATCTTTTCTTTTTCTTTTAAAAATGCTACTTTCAATTACTTTAAATTTTTTAAATTTTCAGATACCTTTATATTTATTTTTTAATTCCAACCTTCTTTTACTTTTTAATTTTTTAAAATTTCCACAAAAGTTTTTATTTTTTTAAATTTTCTACATTCTTTTACTTTTTTTAAAAGAGAATTCCACCTATTTTTACTTTTATATTTTTTTTTATTCAATACTTCCTTTTTTCTTATTTTTTTAAATCATTCCCGAAATTATTATTATTATTATTATTTTAAAAAAATAAAATAAATTTTTTCGGATTTTTTATATATAAAAAAACAAAAAATAAAAAAATATATTAATAGTGATAATTCACCTTTTAATTTTTTTTGGTATTTTTATCCTATAATAAAAAGTGTAATAAAGCTAAAATAATAGTAGGTTAAAACCCCCTAAAATATTTACATAAAAGAAGTGATAAAAATTAAATATTGTCAAAAATTAGGTGTTCACAGTTGGTGCTGCCAAAGTTTGGATTTAATTGCCATCTCCCTCACATTTGCTTTAATAAATTCATTATTGTTTCCAGTTGACAACATTAACTGACCAGGATCCCCACCATACTTTCCAAAAGACTCCAAAGATTATGATGGTACTTCAAAAACGGAAGTGTTCAAAGTGACCAAAGGTTGTTTAACCATATTAGCATTCATCATCATCGCAATCTGAGCATCTTTAATGATTTGTTCCAAGTGAGGGCTTGAGAATTGCAGTGTAGGAATATTCGAACTGTGTGCCTTACCCATTAGTTCATCCACCTGGTTTTTCATTGACTCAATTGGCCGAACAGTCACTTTGTCGCCTAATTTCGTACTGTCTTTGCCTTCTCTTTCAATGTTGGTGAAAAGAAATAGTTGCTTGTCCATCCCATCCTCTTTTGGAATTGTTGAATCTAGGTGTTCATCCTCCATACCTGTCAGTGCATCAAAAACATTTGGGCTGGTCACCAGGTTAGAAACATTTGGTTGAAAACTTGTTGTTTTTTGTCTTGGTGATACCACCTGTTTCGTAGGTGATTTTCTTGCTGAAACCACGTTCCAAACCCCCTCTTTTGGATTTGTATTATTTCCCTTACCTGCACCAACTGATTTATCAGTGTTCACCTCCGTAACAATACCCTTTTGCTCATGTCTAACATCAAATTTCCCAAAAATTGGTTCGACCCCAGCATTAACTCGAGTACCAGTTGTATTCTGAGCAACATTATCTTCCAATTGTGAAACTGTAAGACCTGGTTGTTTTTTAACATTGTCACTGTGCTCTATCTCTGCTACTGCTGCATTATTTTTTGCAATAAAAGCTCGAACAGTTGCAGCTAATGCAGTATCATCCATCAGTTGCCCAGATTCAATAGTAAAAGTTTGTAAAGCTGCATTCACATCCATATGAAACCTTGACAGAAATGTAGCGTCATGAACAACAGCTGCACATTTTGCATCTTCACTAGATGCAGCTCGATCCACGTTTGTTAGCTGCTCACATCTAGCTGGATTCACATCTAGATGCCCTTTTTCATCAACCACTGCTGTAACTCGAGCATTACTCTCCTGCACACCAACAATCCTAGAGGCATCAGTTGAACCCACAACGACAGCTCGATCACTAGTAACACTCAATGGAACAGTAGCTTTCAAATTTGACACCACAATAGCTGAGTGTTTTCTAGGTACTGCATTTTCATATGGAACATGTAAACTCTGCTCAACACCAGCTAATCCTCGATTACCATCTGCCAAACCATTCTCTACGTTACCTATTTTTGCAGAAACCTCATCTCGATCAGCAGATGCAGCTTCACAACTTCTGCTTACCATAGGCTTGCACAATTGGATTCACCACATTAAAGATCCTTGCCAATGCAGTCTTAGCAGGAACATCTCGTGTAGGTTTAGGTGGACCTTTATCGATCATTGAAACTTCACCTCCAATGGTACCATTACCTGCACGATTCGCCAGATTTACTCCATCTGTTTGCGATAACTACTGCAGGACAGAGTTTTCTTTTGGTGCTTCAACTTCCAGTTTACCACTATTAGAATCAGGTAATTCATTAGCTCATCGGCTAGCTCTTTTGGCATTCAAATAAGCTCTTGCATCTCCTTGCAGCTTTTCAACTCCATTCGTCTCAACAACAAGCAACTCTTGCACAACCATGTTTTCTATCCTAACTCCATCACCTACCTTATCCTTTTCAGTCATCAAACGACATATTCTTTCCTTATACCCCTGATGCTTACAAAAAGTGCAAAATTTGGGGAGATTATCATATACCACCTCCTGATAATGTTCAACGAATTTTCCAGTCGACTTATCAACGATGTACAGCTTCACTCGCTTAGGGTGCTTGTCTAACAGGTCTAATAAAACCTTTACCCTAGCAACACTTGGCCTTGTTCGATCTTGTGTTGCCTTATCCACTGTAAGAGGCTTTCCTACATCTGAAGCGATTGACAGTAACGATTTCTTTGCGAAAAAATTCGGCGGCAAATCAGGAAACGAAATCCACACCACAGATTTTGATGTTTCCTCCTTGGGATTAAATCCAATCGTCCATGGAAACGTTCTAAAAAAGAATTCGTCACCTTTATATTTTATGTAACCAACTGACCTCGACAAGAACTGGACATAATCTTCAAACAAATCGAACCTCACCAGAATATGTCGAAATTCAAGCTGTCCAATATTACACATACCTTTAATGTCGTACTGTTTCAGGACGAGTTTACGCAGGTCATGTACATCTGGTTTCCCATATGAGAATTTCATAATAACTGCTTGGTGTAATCCCTCTTCAATGGTAAATTGATTTACCTCCTCCATAGTGAATTCTATAATTGGCTCGCCATGAACAAACTTCACAGGAATCAATTCAATTTTTGTCGAAGTAGCATCTGTTTTTAAGGTTTGTACACGAGCAGCATATGATTGTGACATAGCATGAGTAGGCTTTGGATTATTAAATTTTTGGTTTGGCTCTCCCACAGCCAAAGGCTGGGGAGAGACGATAGCTTCCATGGCTGCTCAAAACGTCACCATATTGACGTGAAGAACAGAAAATAACGACAAAATCTGAAAAATTCTGCTTGCAACAGTACTTCGCGAAATAGAATTTAAGATCTTGAAAAATTGGTTATGAATTTAAGGATGAAACCAATTGAGGATTGTTCTCTAAGAGAAGGGGGTTCTTTTAAGACCAATCTTGTGATCTTACCTTGCCGGATGTCGGAGTTATAGCCCGATGAATAGTGACGGAATTACTATTCGGAGGAGGATTTTAGACGGCTGACTTCTCTAAAAAAAAAAAATTGATCTTCTTGACTACTACTTGCAGTGTTTGTCACCGGTGCCGAAAAGGGAAATACCCAAAAACAAACTCACAAAAAACATGTGTGGAGGAACCAAGTTTCTTTCAGTTCTCACAATTCTCATCTTCTTGCAGCTCTCTGACACCCCATTTGCCGAACAGAATCAGCGGTGTGCACCTTCTAGTTGTGGGCATATTAAGAACATCAGCTACCCCTTTCGATTTAAAAATGATCCAAAGCATTGTGGCGACGAAAAGTATGAATTGAGCTGTGAAGGGAATCGCCCCATATTCACGATATTTATGAAAAGTTGGAATGGGTCCCTGAACTACCATGTGCAAGCCATCAACTATGATAACTCCACTATCCGCCTTGTAGATCCTTGTATAAGAGAACAAGTTCTTTGCTCTCTTCCTCAGCATTCAATTACATTTTACACTATCCCTTTTCAATTTAGTTTTACTAAACCTGATGGTTCATATGCTCCTTTAGCCGTGCCAATCACTATTTTCAGCTGTCCATTTGCTATGAATTCTCCCGCTTTTGTGGAAATCACTAATTGTCTCAACAGGAGTGATGCTTCCAAGGGACACGCCTATGCAGCCATGGGCAAATTATCACCATCTAATTTGAGAGTGGGGTGTAGTGTAAACCTACTGTCAATGACTTAATGGACTATTGATGATGCAAATGTATATATTTCAATCTTAGAGCTGCATAATGTTGTTCCTCTGTACTTGTAAATAATGATTCTGGAAATTAGAACGTTAGCTTATAAACGTAAATATAAATAAAAAAATAGAAATTAATTCGAGCCCACTGAATTCACAGTGTTTCCTTAAGGAATTTAATCCCCTCCTAGTACCCAAGGTTATAGATTATTTCCTCCCAGGATAGAACGAATTACACACTGGTGTAGCGGTACTTCAAACCCCAGTGTTTCAGCGAACACAAAGTTCGGCAACAAATCACACTTATGGATGCTTTGTTTGTAGTTAAAAACAATGCAGAATAAGGAGAACAACTCAGAAGTCGAATGAAAATTCTGAGAGGAAGGAATGCAAAGTATAGCCAATGTTGAATTCTTACTGAAGAGAATATCAGATTGCAATTCGTTTTTCCAGTGTATACGCAGTGTATACAGAGTGTATATCCAGTATATGCAGAGTGTATATCCCGTGTATACAGAGT